TTTTTTTTTTTTTTTTTATAGGAAGATGTTAAATTCGATAGTACCGATTGGACTTTTGCCAACATTAAGCAAGATCCTGAAGTAAGAATTAATAATTTTGTAACCACTAGACTCACACATATTTAACTTTTTTTTTGTTCATGTAGGTTGGAGCAGTTCTCTGTGGTTTCGATATAAATATTAATTATTTAAAATATGCTAAAGCATACACTTATCTTCATTCAAATCCCGAATGTCTTTTCTTATTAACCAATGATGATCCAACATTTCCAGCGGGTGGATCAATTTTCCCGGCTGGAGGAACTATTGCAGCACCTTTAATTACAGCATTAGGTAGAAATCCTGATGTTGTATTAGGTAAACCCAATAAACCCATGTTAGATTGTATTGTACAAAAATTAAGTTTAAATCCTGAACGTACTTGCATGATTGGTGATCGTCTTAGTACTGATATTTTATTCGGTATCAATGGAAATCTTGGTACTTTATTAGTATTAACTGGTAAGTTAATTAACTCTAATATCTTTTTTTCTTAAGGAGGAAAAATTTTTTAACATCCAACAATTGTTTTTCAGGAGTTGCTGAAGAAAAAGATATCCTAGCTGAGAATGCTCGCATAATTCCAGATTATTATATTTCAAGTCTTGGTGATATTGCCATACTTAATACATAAATATTATAGTAATATAATGCATTTATTTCAATAAAAATATTTTCTCTCAAATATAATTTACATTGTTCTTATTGAGTATATGCTTTACAACTATTCCACCAAGTGTTAATTCCTTCACTTGGACAAGCCGAAAAAAGGTTTACAAAAGACTAATACATTCCGTAAACTTACTTTCATTTCTGGTTAACTCTTCGAATGTTTCTAAACGAGCTAATGCTTGAGACACGGAAAACCCTACAAATCCTGTAGCTCCAAATACTAAAACTTTAACCTTTGTCTTGAAAAAAAAATTTCACTTAAGCCATGTATACTTGCATTACAAAAAAAAAAAATAATTTTTTTACAAATCTAAAAATAATCTAACTTTGTGCTAACGTATTACGGCTAGATTTCGGGATGCAAAAGGTTTATATATCGTTTTCATACTAAATTAAAAATGGCAATCGAAATTTCTTAAAACTTGGTTGTTTGCCCAAAATCTCGAAATCACTATATTCACATCCTTTTTGTGTTTTATTCTTTTTGACCCGCTAACCGCATATATCATATTTTAACTGTTTTTTAGCTCTCTCACGTAAATTGGGGCATTTCTTTTGGTTTCGAACTTTCGATATAATGCTAATTATCTAAATAATTTAAACGTTCGCTTCATTCAAGCCTTTTCTTATTAATTGCGACATCTTTAATGACAGCATTGTGCAAAAATTTGAGATCTAATTATTTTATTGGGTAGTAATGATAATCTTAGTACTTTATTAGTTTAACTGGGTTAACTGTATCTTATTTTTCTGATTAAAAAATTTGTGTCAATATTACCGTACATGAACATTATATAAATACCCTATAGAAAATATAATGCATTTATTCTAATAAAGTATATTCTCCTAAATATAATTTAAAATTATTGAGTATATGCTTTATAACTATTCCACCAAATGGTAATTCCATCAACAAAGCCTAATTGACATTGATTCCATCCAAGTATAGTTTGAGCTTTTTTATTGAAAAAATTCCTGTACTTGCCATTGCTTCTTCAAATTCATTTGTAGGACTTTTAAACTTAATTTCTCTTATAAATAAAGATCAAATAAAATTAGAATTTTAAATGTTAATTCATATTTTATATTATACGAATGTCCCTCATATATCTATTAAAATCAAATGATTTAATATTAAAAACTCTTTCCTGTACCGTTCACGTCCATTTTTCACACAAGAAATATTACGCTTTTTTCTTGTTAAATTACTAGAAAAATAGCACTTCAGTATTAAGACAAAAGTGTTCCTTGGTTTAAACAACACACTTTTTATTATCACTCTTTTCAGTTCGAACAAGTTCACAAGGGCTTAATAGTCCTTTAAAGACATAAAAGTTTTGTTTTCTTGCGAAATTTTTTCAAAAGAAGGCGTAAATACGGTGCACCAATCAGATTAAAGATGCCGAATAAAGAAATTTTTATCGGCTATACTTTTTTCCGTCCAGAAAAAGTAAACGGTACACGGGGGCTGATACGTTATATTCCACCAGAAAAGGAAAGTCCTATATCCTTTTGCATGTGGATTCATTACAGAAAGAAAAAGATATATTGATGATTATTACCAACAATAGACATATGACAAAGAAATATGATAAGCCTTATTTGATTAATTCAGATCGGCCTATGATGAATACTAAATACAGGATTTCAAAATACTTGACGAGTGTATTTTGCGGGTTGCCTATTGATTTAAATGCTAGAAATAAGTATTTTTATAGAATACGTCAATTACTATTGGATAAACTTATAGCGATAGAAAATAGATTAATGAAACAAGAAAAGAATAGACAGACTACAACTTATATTAAATTTAGTTATGGTAAACGAACATGGTATTTGGGATTCTATATTTCATGTTCAACTTGTAGTAATGTCTGTGCTTATGTAATGTCAAACAATAGAAAAGTATGCCAAAATTGTCATTCAAAAGTGATAGTAACAAATACACCTCAAACGCAAAATACGTTTAAAAATTATTGTCAAAGTAAACAAATAGTAAGTAAACGCATAAGCGTTACTTATACAAAAAAGGTTTCAATGGATAGTGGCACAGGTAACTATTTAGTTACATATTCGAATTTGGCTATTAACAAACAGTTCAAAATGATGAAAGAACAAGAGAAGTATAAAAAGAGGTTTACGAATAGCCTCAAAAATCATAAGAATAAATGGAATTACATTAATAATAGATTTGAGTCAAAGCCAGTAGTTTCTAAACATTGATTGAAACGAAGATGTGATATTCTTAAGAAACATTATATATCAAACAAGGAATTGGAGTTTTTGTTTGACCAAGTTACAAGTAAATCAGGATACAACATGTTGAAAGATGATATTTTTATTAATCATTCCTTCAACAGTGAATATTTTCTTATATTAAGAAAGAAAAAAGAAGCTACTTTCGAACGAGAAGATATTGAGGTGGCTGAACAAGTAACGAGTGCTGGTAAGAATTTTATGGTAGATAATATTACCACAAATTTACAAGAGCTAGAAATTAGAGAACAGGAAAATATGCTTCCCTGGCAAGAAATACTAAATAAATTTGTACCGATTACAAAGCATGAATTTCATAGGGGGTTAAATAGTGTCAGAGACCTTGATACTTTAAAGATATTTCATGATGGAGTTAAGAAAAAAGATGTGATCATAATGTCTCTTACAGTTACGTAAAGAATCAGTGCGATATTAAAGTTCGTAAGATAAAGGGTGCGTGATATTAAGAAAGTATTAATAAGTAATTAGTTATTCTTGTTTTGTTTTTCTATTTTCTTTTGTTGGATAGTTAATTACGTAGAAACAAATTATCAATAGAGAAAAAATGAATAATTATTTTTAGATTTTAAATCATTCCTTATCTGATAATATTTACATAAGGCTATTAGGTTAGAAAGAAAAATATATAGACAGATTGTCTATTGAATTTATTTTTAGTTTCACACCATTCCATATTTGATTATATTTACATATGGCAAATTTTATTTGAAAGAAAAATATATAGACTTCTTTTAGTAGTTTTAACGAATTAATTATATATGTATTCATCATTCTGTATTCGATAGTATGTACATACAGCTTTTTAATAAAGAAAGAATCATACATGCACGTTATTTATGAC